GACTCCGCCCTTCGGCGTATGTGTCCTTCGGGTTCCTCCCTTTGTAGGAAGAGAGTTCAACCCACAAGTCGGTAAAAAAGTGAACGACTGATTCTTTTTTATTTTTTTATAACACAAACACACACACAAACACACACACAAATTTTTTTATATACACACATATATATATATATATATATATATATATATATATATATATATATATATCGATATATAATTAAATAGAATTTATATATCAACCTTTAGTATTAAAAAAAATATGAGAAACTTGCTTTACAGTTCAAAACTGCCTTGCCTGAGGTGATACCTATAAAAAAATCCAAATATGTTTGGGGCATCATTCTCTTACAATTTGTGTGTTTACGCGATATATTTTCTATTCATCTTCTGATCTTTGATAAATTAATATGGTTTTAAGTCGCTGATCACAGGTCCTTAATGGTCGTGAACAGAAGTGTCGTGGGAGAACTGTCTGCCATTGACACAATGTTTTTTTGCTAAATCTTTTGGATTTTTTAAGGATTGGACATGAGTCACCACCCATGTTTAAGGAGTCACCAAGCCTACTTGATTTTGATTTATTCATTTTCATAAAACTGAGAGCTTTTTAAAATTTTGCTCGAGGAAAGATCTCTTAGCAAACAGAGGAAAGATCAAAAGCTTACAGACTTACACTGGCAGACAACGGGAAGAATGAAACGAACAAACAGATTTTTTTTTTGTTTTTGTTGAGTGAAAAGATGGATTTGGATGAATGTAAAAAAAAAAGTCAGCTCTAAGTAGGAGTTGTTTTATTGCAATACGGAGGGGGAAATCTATGGAAAGGAAAAGGGACGTTGAATTTTAGGAGCTGCAAAAAAACAAAAAAAAGATTCGAGAAAAAAGGTCTTTGTTGATAAATATTTATATTATTAGTTCTAACGGCATTTTTTCTTATTTTTATTTTTCCTGGATAGCTAATTTACAAACAGACTAAGATGCATAGGATGAATTTATATATATATATATATATATATATATATATATATATATATAGATAGATAGATAGATTAATAGAATAGATATATTAATATTAGTGGTAAATATACACATACATATGCAAAATATATATACATAGGTGCATACACATACATATATATATTTTTTGAATAAAAATTCCAAGAGGATAGAATCCAGGTAGAACTCAATGTCTAGGACAGAGTAAGGATATAATAAAAAGGCTTAATAACTAATATTCCATAATATAATTTATTCCATTGGAATCGTGAAATACGATCCAATTATTCATCTTAATATATAAATGTATCTTTATATATATTAGACATCCGACAACATTCATTTTTCTCTTAATTAAACCCCTTCCACTCTACCTCTCCTAAAATTCTATATCTGTTAAGGTTTATATATACCCTCCTAAATAAAATTAACCCATTTTCTTTAACTAATAACATCTCTCTAAATTCTGTTTTATTTCCGGAGTTGTTTTTTCTGTTTTTTTTTTGAATTTGTAGGTCTGATGAATTGGATCATATTTACGATTCCAAAGGAAAAAATTATGACCATGGAATATTAGTGTTTTGCTTTATTTTTATTATATATATATATATATATATATATATATATATATATATATATATATATATATATATATATATATACATATGTCTGTATTTCATTTATATATATACACCACAAACTCGCTTTCACGACGCTTGACGCTACATTTGAATGAAGAGTTAACATTTTTAGGCATTTAAAACAACATGCCTACACATACACAATTCTGGAAAATCCTTGTTGAAAAACACATTTTTATACTTAAGACATGAAAACAATAAACAAAGAAAAAAAAATTCTTGAAGCTATATACATAAAACAGTTGAAACCTAACCTGAACAAAATAAACTATGAAATCTCCACAAATATTCTTAAATGCCTATAATAGATAACAGAAGTCCAAATGTTTATACCAACGGCATATGCTTTTAATAATTCTCGTTTTCGTGGTCACCATGTGACGTCATGAGCTGCGGTGCGATTTTCGCTTCCAGCGTCTTATATGCACGTGTTTATCGTTGCTTGGAAATCATCCATGTAAACAGAAACAGACTATCATCACATTCTTGTCCGTGTATTGCTTAATATATTGTAATGTAATTGTCATCTTTGATAATGGCTTATGTAAGCCGAAAGCTTAGATTGGATTAAAAAATATGTATCAATATTGTGATTTTCTTTCTTCGTTTAATGATAATGTTATTAAGCTTATCAGACGATATGAAAAGAATTTACATAAAATAAACAGACAACACTTCTATATATTATTTAATGAAACATATATGAATGAAAAAATGCTGTCTAAATACACATATATATATATATATATATATATATATATATATATATATATATATATAAATATGAAATAACATATATATGAATATATATATATATATATATATATATATATAAATATGGAAATACAAACATATATATATATATATATATATATATATTAAATATGAAAACAATAAACAAAAATTCAAAATTTTGAAGTTTTATACATAAAACAGTTGAAACGTAACCTAAATAAAAATAAACTATAAAATCTTCGTTTCCTTTTTATAAATTCTTTTTTTTTAAAAAAAAATTTCTGTAACCATTTATTTTTTAGTCTTCATTTTCTGGACTTTTTGGGGTTAAAATATTAAATATATATGTATAATTATGAATCTTATCGAAAATTATATATAGTCAATTGTGAAGATGAAATTATATGAAGATGGCAATGAATGGAAAATTGGTTCTGTACAAATATATGCCACACAATTTTTTCTCATCTGAGAAATTTTCAAATCCATTAAACAAGCCACCCGTCCTAGCATGGAATATTGCTGTCATATATTGTCTTGTTTTTTTATATGGTCTAAATATTTATATTTACAAAATCCATAGACGAATATACATGATGATAGGTGTAATCTGGCAAAAGTTTACATAAATATTTATCCCTCAGACATGATATATGGCTTCCCTCTGTCTTTTCTACAATATCTTCACGGTAACTGTTCCGATTAACTTTATAAAATGGTTATAAGACTGCATGAATTTAGCGAGCTAAATTAGCAGGCATAATCGGTCCCACATTTTCACTGTCAAAACGGTTAAATCTAACCGTCTCTTCTAATCAAACCTTCTTCGTCTCACAATTTCTCACATTGTTTATTGCTTTTTCCCAAATATATATATAATATTCAAATATTCAAGTGTAATGTCAATCGACATCTGACACTTTCAGCTTGTTCCCGTTCCTTTTTTGTATCCTTTCCCCAAACATGCCTCTTTACTCTTGTTCCCAAATTCAACAAAAATTTTTTCCATGTTATTGTTAATTTTGTTATTTTTTGAATTGTAAAATTTAAAAAGAATTAAATTTCAACAACATTATAACAATTTTAGAGCTATAGGAAACACTTCCTTTAAAAACCCCTATCGGAAATGTGCTGAATTAAAAACAAAATGACAAAATCAATAGATAATAGATTACTCCTGTTATTAAGGGTCACCATATTAAAATGTAAAGGATTCAAAGACTTATATGTGTTTGCTATTTGTTCTATTATCGGTGTCGATCAATTTGGGGGTATTTTATTACCTTTTAATTGAAGTAAAATGTGATTATTTGGTGTTGCCTAATATCTTCAGACGGAAGTTTTTTTGTGTGTTTTTTTTATAATACATCAAATAACTTCAATAAAATATATTGATACTACTTCACATTTTAACCCGAGCTTTGTTTTGACACCTAAATAGTCTGTTTAAAATTTGACAATGTATTTGGGATCTAATATCGATCGCATCATTTGACTGGATGATCATCTCAAAAGAACAAGAAGGAAATTTTTATCAATCTAAAATGTTATATTTTCATTATTATGTTCATATTAGAGATCGAAAATAAAAAATTAACAACGTATATTTCATTTTGTGTTGTTTGATTTTCATTGGTTAATCATGTGTCACATGCATTTGAATTTTTTTCTGTCCGATGTTTGAAGAATTAAGAAAGATTCCAAGCCTAGCTTAAAAACTGCAAATGTTATTATACTAGCAGTTTTTTAGCCCGGAATTTAAAAGGGGATGTAACAATAAGAGATAGATCAATATTTCGACCATCATAAAGACATTGAAAAATAAAATTGACAAAGATTATTGTTTAAGGTTGAAAACATACGCATGTCTCAATTTTTTTTTTTTTTTTTTTTACGAATTGGTCACACCCAAACTCAAACAAAAAGCATTGTTTTTCAATCGTTATGAGTTCTCTACCGATTGAATAGAATTTATTATAAACAATTGTCTTGTAAATGGAATTTTTAAAGCATTCTGAATGTAAAAATAAAAAAAAGTGTGCAAGACAATAAAAAACACTACCTGCCAAAAAAAGTGTAGTTTTGTTGAAATCGGTTGAAAAATGTAGGAAATCCGATCCCATATATAAACGAACACACACACACACACACACACACACACACACACACACACAAACAACCTGTATTTTTATAATAAGTATAACTCGATATGAGTTGTTCTCCTTTCATTCTCGTGATGCCTCTTAATCGTGTTTTCAAATTGATTTCGTGCAAAAACAATTGTGTTTTTCAATTTTTGGCGCTGTCAGAACCACCGCAAGGTAATTTTACGTAGTCATGTGAAGTTTTGTTGGAATCGGTTGAAAAATGTAGGAAATCTGATCCAATATATAAACGAACAGACACACAACCTGAGTTTTATAATAAGTATGATGTATGCAAGTGTATAAACGTTCTTGTTTGTCTGTGTGGGCATCAGATGATGCATATTCGTCGTTGTGTATGGATATATGACTTGTAGATATATATATATATTCCTCCTTTCTGACCAATGTTTTGATATATGGATTGTAGCTGAGAATTGTTCAAATACGAAGCGTTTTCAGCTTCTATAAATCGCTGTCAAAAATGTTTTTTGTTTTTTTATTTTAAATAGAAGTCAAATAAATTGTTCCCATTCTGACAAAATTAAGACCTAGTCCCTCTTTCTCTATTCAAATTTCATTCTATCCTCTCTCTCTCTCTCTCTCTCTCTCTCTTTCTTCATGTTTCTTTTTGATTTCCCATTTCAACACCAAATCTCTCTCGTTCTCTTTAAATTTGTTTTTTTCTTTCTGGTTCATAAACAAAAGTTTTTTTCTATATCTTTTATTCTCTCCTATCATTTCTCCATGTTAGACTTTTCTCTTTCTATCTTTTTCTTCCTTTCTTCTTTCCTTCCCTTCGATACTTCCGTTATTTACAATCTATATCCGGCTCTTTTTTTATCCTCTTCTCTCTCTCTCTCTTTCTCTCTCTCTCTCTCTCTCTCTCATTTCTTTCTTAACTTATAACTTTCTTTCATTTTCTATTTCTTTTCTTATTGCTATCACTATAATCTCTCTGTTCTTTCTTTATCCTTTCTAATCTACCTTTTCCTCTTACTTCCTGTTTTCGTCATTCTCACCTTTCCTCGTTTATCTTCTTCTCCCTCCTCAATTCTGAAATTTTCCTCTTTTCTGGACAAAACCTCTTAATTTCACCTCTTCAGATCTTCTTCCTCTCACTTTATCTATTTCATTTTTCCCTTTTTTTATATTTCCAATCATTCCCTTTCATTTCTCTCTCTCTTTTTATCCTCTTTTCGTCTCTTTCACCTTTCTTTATTCCTTCTTTTTTTCTTTCTTTCTCTATTTTTAATTTTCTTCCTCTTCCTTTTCCTCTCTAAATCTCTCACTTTTTATCCTTTTTCGTCTCCTCATTTTTCTCTCTTCTTCTTTATTCCTTCTTTTTCTTTTCTGACTTCTATTTTGTTCTCCTCTTCCTTCTTTTTTTCCTCTCTCTTCTTTTTATCCTCTTTTCGTCTCCTTTCACCTTTCTTTATTTCTTCTCTTTTAAAACATTTTCAAAATTTTTTCTTTTCTTTCCTCTCTCTCTCTCTGAATCTCTTTTTTTTATAGATCTTTTCGTCCCTTTCACCTTTCTTTATTTAAATTCCTTTTTCTTTCTTTCTCTATTTGTCCTCCTCTCTCTCTCTCTTTTCTCTCTCTTACAGTTCATCGTTTAATAATTTCTTTCTTTCAATTCTTATTTCTCTTTCAACACTTTTCTTCTTCTTCTTCTTATTATTATTATTATTATTATTATTAAATTTTTTTCCATATATATTTCTTTGTTATTTTTCTCTCATTTTTTTTTTTTTCTTCTTTTTATCCCTTCTTTTTCTTTTCTTTCTTTTTATTTTCTTCTTTTTTTCTCCTAAAATTTTATCTTTTTTTTCTATTACGCTATTTTTCCCAATTTTTTTTTTGTTCAGTTTCAGTTTGACATTTTCTTCTTTTCTGAAAAAATTCACCCCTGTTGACATCAGTGATTTTAGCAATGAATAATATGAAGAGACTGAAAAATTTCTGTTAGGGCTGAATTTCCTTTCAATGAAAAATTCAAAAAGGAAAAAGGAATGAAAAATTGAAATGAAGGAATGAATTTTGTTTCACTTGGAAGAAAAAAGATGAAGGAAGGATTTTTAAAGGAAGGAAGGAATCGCAAGGAAGGAAGGAACAAACCCTTAAAAAAAACGAGAAAGGAAAAAAAAAAAGTTTCTTTCAAATTAGAAAATTAGTTTCTAATTTTTGAAAAGTAATTACAAATGAAATTTTAGAATTTTCAGGGAAAAATATTCTTTAAATCATTTATTGTTTTCTATAATTTTGATTTAATTTTTTCAAAATTTAGCCTGGAAAAATTTTTTATTATTAAATCAATAATTTATTTTCTAGCTATTTTTTTTATTTCTTCATTTTTTTTTTTGATTTTATTAGCAATGCATCATTTAAAATTTAAACTTTATTCAAATTATTTATCTTGCAGGGTTTTTAATTATCTGAATTTTGTTTGAATCTGCGTTTGGCACAAAGCTAAAATTCACATCGTAGCGTATTTTATTAAATCTATTTAAAATTTGCCACGTTATTGGAATTTTTTTTTTATTGGCTTTTTTTATTTTTTTTTTGGGAAATAAGTGGTGAAATTTCTTGTTTTTTAAAATAAAATCTATAAAAATTTCCCGATTAATCATTCAGTTTTTAATATTTTTTTTTTGGAAGGAGGAAAAAAAAAGAAATATATATTTCCGATTTTATATCGTTTTTGAAAGTGATAAATAAATAGTAAAAAACAGAATTTTCTTTTTTTCACCGATTTTCATTTCGGCGCTGATGACCGTTATATGACGTATTATATTTACATATAAAATCGCATTTTCTATATAAAAATCCTATTTTTTCTATTTTAAATTTTTAAAATTTATTAAGAATTGTAAAAATAAATCAAAATGAATAAGACTTTTTATTAACTGCAAATTGTGTATGCCATACTAAAATGCAATACAATTTAGAGAAAATCCATGTATAAAATGGCAACAAAGAGGAATAATAATATATATAATAATAATAAAAAAAATAATAATAATAAAAAAATAAATCAGTATTATTATTAATAATATGGTTTTATTATTAATAAATAAAATATTTTTAATAATAAAAATATCAATAAAAAAGTAAAATTTTTTAATCAGTTAATAATAGTAGTACCAATAATAATAATAATATTATAGTAATAATAATAAAATAATAATAATAATAATAATAGTTTTAGTATATAATAATAATAATAGTAGTAGTATTTATATAATATTTAGGATAAAAATAATAATAATCATAAAGAAAGTTTTTAATAATAATATATAGTTATATAATAATATTTTTAATAGTATTATATATTTAACATAATAATAATAATAATAATTTGAAATATTTTTATCAATAATAATTATAGTAGTAGTAAGTAATAATAATAATTTGTTTGTAGTAAATTATAATATTAATAATAATAATATATCTTTAATAATAATTAATAATAAAGTATATAATAATAAATTATTAATAAAAATAATAATTTTAAGAAAATTGAAAAAATAAATAATAATAATAATCTATTAAAAAAATATAACAAATAATAATAATAATTTTTAATAATAATATGTAGTAGTATTAGTTTAGTAATAATAATCATAATAAAATGACATTAATAAAATTTTGTTTAATCTTTATATAATGAAATAATTATATCTTGGAGATTTTGGTTCGTAAATTTATTTTGTTAAAATTTAATTTTTTATAAAATTTTTTTCAAAAATATTTAGATAAATAATGTTTTTACTATAAAAATATATTTTTCTATTTTCATAATGGTTTGACGCCAATTTTTGGGTTTACAAAAATGCCCGCAGTTGGGATAATGATTAAAGTTTTTTATTAATTCTAAAATGCAATTTAATTGGTTTATTGAGATCATATTTCAAAAGTCAAACTTTGGATATAGTAAAAAATAAAAGAAGAAATCCAATTTAGAACAAGAAGAAAAGAAGAAATATAAAAAGAAAATTGCGGAGTAGTAATAGTAGATAAAAATTAAAAGAAGATCAAAAAAAAAAAAAAAATGAAGAAATTTTGAAGGAATATTTTTTTTTATTGAGAGAAGTGATGATGAATGAAGAAAGAAAAGAAAGAAAGAAAAAGAAAGAAAATAAAACTAAAAAAATGTTTTTTTGAAAAAAAAAATAAAAGGAAAATTATTAATATTTAAAAAAAGATATTAAACATGTTGATTTTTAAAGTTGTGAGGAAAAGGAGGAAAGTAAAAAGAAGATGAAGAAGAATTTAGAAAAAGAAGAAGAAATTTTAATTATTAGATGAAAAAGAAAAGAGGAAGAAAAGAAAAGAAGAAGAATAAGATTAATAAACAAATAATTTTTAATGATTTTCTCCAAAGTTAATTAAATAATTCCATTCTTTTTTTTCCATGCAGTTTTATATTTGAAATCAAATTTCAAACAATAATTATGTTTTTGACGATTAAAATTTATTTTAAAATGGCGATTCATGATTTGGTTAAAATATTATATATTTGTAAAATAAATTTTAATAACGTATTTAATTTTGGACCATAACATATTTCAGAAAAAAAATTTTTTTCAATTCATTTGCGCTTTATTATTTCAAAAAGAATTTTTTAATTGAACAAACGAGACCGTAGAACGTTGCTGGGTTAAAAAAACATTAAAATATTATATGCTTTATTCTAAAGTGCATGGAATTCATTTCGAAATGTTTGAAAAGCTGTCGGATTCGATTTCAAATTACGAAGCCACAACACATCGTCACCGACGGTTCATTTTTTTTCTTGTTCCCTAAACCCCAATTTTTTTATTAGTTTCTCTATATTAATTCTTTTGGAAAAGGTTTATCATTAAAATTGTTTACAAACATGATTTGAAAACAATTTCTAATATTGTTCAAGGCCCAAAACGACCTGGGTATGACGATTTTAACAAGAATCCATCATTTGCACATTTATAAATCTACCATTCGTCTGAATTTTTTGAATATGGCTTTATATTTGGTAAAAACAATGATTGTTCATCTGGAATTCTTGACAAAAATCAAATTAAAATATCTGCAATGTAATCGATCCTCTTAATCTTAAAAAATCATTTATTAACCGACGTGACGGATTCCCTGTTTTTTATGCACATATTTTAATGGCAATTGTTCTGATGACTGATTTTTTGCCTCGTCTCCATGAATTTAAGCGGGATACAAGATTGGCAATTAAGGTCTAAATGTTTTACTGTTGAATAGCTAGATTAAAATAATATTTATTTTTCAAAAATAATTTCTTTAATGTGTTTTTTTTCTTAGAATGCCTTTGATATAAATAATTTTAAATTTTATTTTACTTGTTAAAGTTTTTTTGCTAAACATTTTTTTCAATAATAAATTTTTTATTTCTAAAAGAAAATATTATTATTCTACTTTGGGTTTTTCCAAATGAGTTTCCTTTAAACATGGCTTTATTAAGTATTTCAACAATTTGGCAAATAAAGCTAATTAAAAATTAAATTAAAATTTTTTTTAAATTTTCATCATTTAAATAGATTTATTTTAATAGAATTTTTGAATTTTAAAAATTCAAATTTTTGATTGAACAATTTAAAACCCATATAATTTCCATTAAATAAATGAGGTCTTTTTTTTGGTTAAAGACATTTAAAATTTAAACTACCTGATTTGTCAACCAATTTGAAAGTTAATTAAAATTCTATTGGATATAATCATCAAATTAAAATTTTTAAATATCTTTAATGAACAAATTTTTTCAATTAAATGATTATTATTCATTATCTTATTTCATTTATTTTGTTTAATATTTTTTTTCTTTTTTTCTAAATCCATCGATTTGAACGGTCGAAATTTTGATTTGTTTTTTTCCATTCTTCAGAATTAATTTAATTAAATTTAGTTAATCAATTTTAATGGATTTCAGTCAAAAAAAGGGCGAAGTTTTATAATCCATTTGCAAATTTATTTAAGTTTCAACATCAATCACATTTCAACCTGATGGAAATAAATGAACAATATATGGTGAGCGGACCTTCTTCAAATTTTTTTTCGCAATTTTTTAATTTATTCGGTTACGGTTTGAACGAAAATCAATCAATTTTTTTTTATCAAGAATATCTTCAAATTATTTTTTGCAGTTGAAGGGACACCATTTCATTATTATTTTTAATTTTAATTATTATTAAATTATTATTATTATTATTTTTATTTTCTTTGATTTCTGGCGTTTACACCTTTCTTTCCGGGTCCCGCCCAGGGACCTAAGGTTAGAAATGGCATCATGACACTTTCCACTGACAAAAAAAAAAAAAAAAAAAAAATTACATAGATAAAGCCCTTCGTAAAGTGTGGGCTGTACTTGTCAGAACAATTTTTGTATCTCTTTGAGGCATGGACTTCCAGGAATCCCTTCAATTAGTCTACTGGAATCTTTTCCAACCAGTCCTAGGGCTCCAACTACAACAGGGATTGTTGATGTTCCCATATGCCACATTTTT